GCCCTAGCCGCTTGAGCCACAGGCACTGAGCCAAAAGTAAAAATTAAGCAAGAACATCATGATCCAGGAGCTAACGTGCACTGTGAAGACAGAAACCTCAAAGAGACTCTGGGCAGAGGGCAACAGCAGCATCGAGAAGCCCCCCACCAATGCCCGGGCCCAGGGCTACCAGCCAGACAGCTGCACCACCAGCTCTAGAGGACAGTGCTCAGATGGTCTACACAGCACTAAGGTGAAGAAACAGGACGGTAAGGACAAGAGGGCACAGTATGAAACACCACACCATGCGGGAAACCCATAAAATCACTGGGAGTATCGTCTGTGAACCCCTCTACTGCTCCCCATTTCACCAGCCCCTCCCCAAGGCACCCTGCTAAGCTTTTGTCAGGGAGAAACTCACACTGCACTCCACAGGGGCCCACCCCATCCCACACAACTCTTACCTGTGATACAGACTGGTATTTTCTCTCTTTTTATAATCCTGGTGATGACAATTCATAAAGCTTATTTAAAATGCCCTCTCAGGGCGGTGCATGTGGCTCAATGGGTAGGGCACCAGCCCCATATACCAAGGGTGGCAGGATCAAACCCAGCCCCAGCCAAACTGCAACAAAATAATAGCTTGGCATTGTAGAGGGCATCTGTAGTCCCAGCTACTTGGGAGGCTGAGGCAAGAGAATCGCCTAAGCCCAGGAGTTGGAGGTTGCTGTAAGCTGTGTGATGCCACAGCACTCTACCAAGGACGATAAAGTGAGGCTCTTGTTTCTACAAAAAAAAAAAAAAAAAAAAAAAAGCCCTGCCAGACTCTTACCCCATCCTCACCAAATACACCATACTATGCAAAAGATCCTATACTTACAAAAGCCGTCCTTCCTCAACAGCAAATACATCCTCACTGATATCAAAACTACTGGAAAGACAACATCATTTAGCAAGTATTCAATCATCCTGTGTGCCAGGTTCATGGGTCAGCTGGACTTGAGTCTGAATCCCAGCTCTACCACTAGAATACAGAGCTACATAACAAATTACTACAAATTTAACAGTTTAAAACAACATAAATGTTATCTCAAGTCCAGCTGGATTCAGCTAGGTCCTCTGCTTAGGATCTAAGACCAAAAGCCAGTGGGCCAAAATCAGCTCCCTGCAACTGCAGGACTGAGGTACCCATTTCATTACTAGCTATCAGCTGGGATCCACACTTTGCTCCTAGCTTCCCACCTTCCTTCTTAAGCTTTCCATGTGGCCCCCTTCTAGGAATATTTCTTCTTCTTCTTGATTTTTTATTAAGACAGAGTCTCATTTTGTCCCCCCTGGCAGAGTACCATGGTGTCACAGCTCACAGCAACCTCAAACTCTTGGGTTCAAGTGAACCTCTTGCCTCACTCTCCCAAGTAGCTAGGACTACAGACGTCCACCACAATGCCTGGCTATTTTTTTTTTTTAAGAGACAGGCTGGTCTTGAATCCTGAGCTTAGGCAATCCACCTGCCTTAGCCTCCCAGACTGCTGGGATTACAGGTGTGAGGCACTATGTCCAGCCCAAAGGCTGGGTGTTTGTTGGAATTTTTTTGTTGTTTTCTTTATTAGGCCCAGGCGAGGTTGGAATCCACCACCCCTGGTGTACAGAGGCTGTGCGCTAACCACTGACCTACAGCAGCCATCTTCTAGGAACATTTCAAATCTCTAACATCTTCTGAGAAATTTTCTGCCTTTCAGGGCTCATGTGATTTAGATTGGGCCCACTCTGCTATTATAGGTAATCTCCCTACTTTAAGATCTATAACTTTAACTATATCTGCAAAATTCCTTTTGCCATGTAACATTACATACATATTAATAGATCCCAGTAGACATCAATTACATCTGCAAAATCTCTTTTGCTAAGTAATGTTACATATTGATAGGTTCCAGGGAACATCTTTGGGAGGAGGTGTCATTCTGCCTACGACGATTTGCCACAGGAAGTTGGCCAAATCACCTTGTTCTCCCAAGCCCATTTCCTAATAATGCCATCAACTCAAAGGGTTGCTGTGATGACTAAAAAACACAGCTACGTTTAGCTGAGTGCCTGCAACCTGCAGGAAACCGTGGCCCTGGATCTGCACATGTGTAGCCTACAGAGGAAGGAGCGCCACTCACAGGCCAACACTGCCTCTCACTAGTTAAGTTTTAAAATTAAACCTGTATGGCAATTTCACAAAGCAATTTTACACATGTCAAATCTAATAATTTTTTAATGGGGCTTATATTTTGTCTTTTTTTTATTTCATTGTTCTGAAAATTCATTCTTACTGATTTTACAAAAGTCTCAGTCCATGAAGGATTGGAAACTTTAAAAACTGGTCCTTAGTAGATAAAATGACATCTAAATCTACACTTTTATTTTCTGACAAGTTCAATAATTTACCTCCCAATATCACAATGAGTTATTTAAAAGCAATGTCATTTGTCACATTAAGATGTAGAAAAGGGGAGGCGCCTGTGGCTCAGTGAGTAGGGTGCCGGCCCCATATACCGAGGGTGGCGGGTTCAAACCCAGCCCCGGCCAAACTGCAACAGAAAATAGCTGGCCGTTGTGGCGGGCGCCTGTAGTCCCAGCTACTTGGGAGGCTGAGACAGAAGAATCGCCTAAGCCCAGGAGTTGGAGGTTGCTGGAGCGATTCCGCTGCACCTTACCGAGGGCGAAAAAGCGAGACTCTGTCTCTACAAAAAAAAAAAAAAAAAGATGTAGAAAAGCATTTAAGCAAGGGAGGTGGGCTATAGGAGCACTTACCAGAGCAATTCAAGAAAACAAAAAGCACAAAAATGTAAATAAAGCAGCCACTCTGAAGCTGCACAAGGGGTCTCTTTGTCCTCTCTACACCTCCAAGAAACAAAATAAATTCACCAAAGATCCCAAGGTTGCACCTGAAAGGACAACACAAAGGCTTGAAGAAACCCAGGAAAACCTGATCCATAGGTCGTGCCAACCCATCAAATCAC